TCCCTTTGAAGTGTTCAAAAACAGCCCGCATCTATTTCAAAATTTTGTAGTCATTATAAGCATCGTGTCCTAAACATTTATGCACATTTTGGATAATCATACACATGATATTTATTATAATTGTGTCGTTGCAAACATCATTGCAAGTATCATTTAATTGCTTTTCACTGTTTGTTCACAAACTGATGTCCATTTTCATCCAGACAAAAAATTGAACATAAATTCATCCACTTGCAATGGGAATGGTTTCATGCTGTGCGCGATTCCATTGCTTCGCGTTGTCGGCAGTGTCTGAATCAAAACGGTCTTCAGTTTCAGAAAATGCAGTGAAAAAATAATAAATCATACTTGCCAATATTCTAACATTTTTGCCATAATAAAACTAGAAGCATTTGTTCTCCGGTATGAATTTAAAACAGGCATAAATGGCAGGATTTATTGGCGTCAATAAGTGCTTGTTCGGACCCGGACAAGGTGAACCTTGCGATACTTGGAAGCTGCTTACATACGACAAGAGAAACCTGACCAATGCAAGCAGATTGACCACGTGGTAAAGCTCCAATTACCCTGATAATTGTTAACTTAGTTTTAATCCCCAAGTGATTTTCGTTTACTTTCTGTCAATCCCCACCCCCTTTTTTTCCCGGTACAGTGTCCTTTACCTGATCATTATTTAAACCAAACTTTGACAATTGCTGTTATGTTTTCCATTCCACGAAATTAATTGACGCCAAAAATCATGCCGTATATGTGTGTTTTAAATAATAGAATTATAATAAACATCATTTTTGCATCTATTCAAAATAGGTAAACATTTTTGGGACACCCGTATCATACTTTAAAAAATATTGAATACTAACGCTTTTGCTAACACGCAAGGTAAAATCAAAAGATACACATCGTGGTCAACATAATTTGAACAATTTCAAACCCAAAGTACGGTCTTCTTTAGGCCTACATTTTAATAGGGGTTTTTTATAAGACCCTGACAACACGGCATATTTGAGTGCATACGTTGCATACTTTAAAAGCCTCGAAGAGCACTCAATATATACAGATTACAAAAGTTGTTATTTGCTTATTGTAGGGCTTTTGTAGGTGGTTCAAAGGAATTTCAGTCTAAAGCCAACATATTGGTGTACCATACCACGAGGCTATGTCTTTCGGCTAATATATTTCTTTAAACTGATGCAAAATAGATTAAATTGAAAAAAAACTTTGTGCATTTTTGTTTACGTTGCTTGAGTTCGTTTACTGAATCTTAGTGCTATTCAACGTAATCAAATGGCCTCAATCTTATATTTGTAAAATGCACTTTCCTCAATGTTAAGGGTCCAACCAGTCATAAGACTTATGACGCTTCCAAGGCAACCATTATCATATTTCCTGTCAACTACGTTTGCAAATGTTCCAAAAGGTTATTAAGATGGATTTCAATGTTCTGATATGATCCCATTTCCATTTCCTCTGAAGTTTAGCCGCACAAGACTCCCGTGTATATAGTAGAAGCTGCATTGTTTGCTTCCTAGGCAGTTAAATAAGTGCAGAAGACGTGCATACAACCGTCATTAAGTACGGAAAAGTAATTTTGCTTGAAGATATTATTTAAAAACACTTCAAACTGGAGCAAATTTCTAACTAAAGAGACATTTTTCCCTTTTAACTTCCCATATTTTCTATAACGATATCGCGTTTTCGGCAGCGAATGCACAGCACCAAATGCATAGGGTGGGTATAAAATACACGAATTGACTTGATTTCAAGAGTGCCGAAAAGGTTAGCATATAATCTTGAGGAGAAAGAACGGGAATTCAGCAGCTTCACCAAAAACCATAGAAAGAAAAATTTGGAATGCTAACAGATCGTTAATCCTTTAAGTGGGGCACAAAATCAAACAAAAATGAAGCCTCGCCAAAGATCCAGAGTGGGAATTACAGAGCTACTCTTCTCTTGCACGTGATACAATCTCGCTTGAATCATTATCACTGGATCCAGAATTTTGCATGCCTGGTAAAAATGTAAACATTTTAGGGTGAGAAACAAAGTTTGAGAATCTCTATAATCAAACATACGAACTTAAGCCAATTTCCACAGAAAGTGTCCAAAACTTCAAATTAACTATGCTGCATTTTAGTTACTAGTACTTGAACGTCAGACTAACAAATTGCGGACTACTGACAAAAGCACACGTAGAAAAGTTGAAGCAGTTACGAGAAAACAAAGACGTCTTGGTTACTATATAAGAATCAGGAACGCGCGTCGGTCTGATGAACAGATTGGCCTACGCAACCAAGATGCAGGCCATACTATCAGATCAGACGAAATTTAAGAAAGAAGAGACACATTTTGTACGGAGGATGTAACGTTACAGCTGGCTGGCTTTTTAAGAAGACTCCACACGGCAAGTTTCATAAGCCACCGTGACCTCGAACAGCTGCTGCCAGTAGAAACGCACATCGCCCGTTTGTATGGCCTACCTAATATCTAAGGCCTGGCAGTTCGCACGATTTTGAACTGCGAAACTCGACATATCCTGCGATAGCGAAGTGGTTGGCAGAGAAACGCAGAACCTTACAGCAGCAGCTAGTACCACATAGCTATTAAGTTACACTCCAATTTATCGACGGCGTCAAAGACGTGAACTTAAACAGCACGATTTTGCTCTCCCTAGAGGTCTCGTCGTTGTTTACAAACGTCCCAGGCACACAGACACTAGACTATATTTGCGAATTTTCGGAGGCCAATCTGATAGAGATAGGAATACCAACTGCCGTATTGAAGGAACTATTATGCAAATGCACATTAAATGTGAAGTTTCTTTTTGACAACCAACTATATAGACAAAAAGACGTCGTTATGGGCTCGCATCTCTTGTCTCTTTTGGCTAAAATCTTCCTGGGTAAGCTGGGGAAATTTCAACTTAGCGAGCAGATACATGAGTTAATGCCCTATGGTCGATATTTCGCTGACATTTTCGCCATTATATTAGCAGAAACCGACTTAGTTGCGTTTCTACATAATGTTAATCAAGTGCACTCTCCAATACGTTCACCTTGGTGGTGGAGACGGCGGGTTCGTTTCCGTTCTTGGATATCCTCCTAAGTCGAAGACCTGACGGTAGCTTGCGAAGGGGCGTTTATCGCAAGAAAAACTGGTCCAGAGTGTATACAAACTTAAACAGTGTTGTGCCCATCCAACAAAAGCGTAACTTGATCCGCTGCTTAGCGCAGAGAGCCATAAAATCTGCTCGGTAAGTACTATTAAATTGGAGCTCCAGAAAGTCCAAGATCTGTTTCGGGAGAACGGATATCCGGCCATACTCATCATAAAGAGTATGATGGAGAAAGAAGCATAGCCCACTACGCTCAGTGTGGAACACAATACATATTTGTTTTAACGATGACATCTTTTAATTGCCAACGGGCATCTTTCCGCGCTTTCTCCCCTGGACACCCTCCCTCTGTCTGGATTCAACAAAAACCTCATCAACTCGCTATCAACCGTTAACTATCGACCACACTCTCTCCCGTATCTCCATGACTGATTTGCCTGTAATGATGATCATAATTACCGGCATGTTACATTTTTAGCCTCTCCCTGCATAAGTTCAATGGCCAGAGGAGAGTTTATTGAAAGATACACTTGCTCGCCAGATATTTTTAAAACTCAAAATCTTGAGTATGTCTTACAAATGCGTGAGCTCATCCGGGTAAACTGAATTAAAGTCGTACGAAAACGATTGCAGTGTTTAAACAAAGTGACAACTTTTAAGACCTGATCCGGGATAGAGATGGTGTAAATCGGCGTCAATTGCCAACTAATTTCCCGCACTACGTGGGCGCCTTCTACATTTCTTCTGTGCTGTTTTTCAACCAACCGTCAGTTATGTTGCAGACAAGTCACCCTCATCTTTCATCCAGACAGATCATCCAACGCCGTAGCTCATCCTATTGTAGAACCTTTTTTACTATATAGTCTATTTGTATTCATCCGTGACATATGATTATCATTTTCCGAAGCTTTATCACCTTTTTTAACATGAATGTGTGCAAGTGGCTTAACAGCTGCAGTGAACTCTGTCTTATCCCGTATTTATCCACGGCATCTGACGTTACTCGGTGTTTGTCAACCTCAACATTTTCGGCTCGCTACAATAGTGTGATTTAATTGAAGGCGATATTTGACAAGCTGTCAATGTAAGCCTGAGTGCGTGCTCCCAGCAAGCAACCATTCATTAGCCCGATTAGCTAGCCGAGTTCAATAACTTTTGATATCCCGAATTTTTTTTGGTTGTCCACAAACACATGACATAACGATTTACAATAAAATAAAAGTGTTTTAGCACCTCAAATATAAACTTCTGTTGAGAATCAAGTTGCCCCTTTTTTATGTTTTTTTCGTGTTTGTAAACGATGTCCACTCCTTTGATTCATGCTATCAGCCTTAACGTCATGTTTTTTGGAACCCCTTTTTTAATCTTTACAACGTACGGTTACTCTGATAGTAATCCACCAAAGGGATAAAAAAGGCTGCACTGTATTCCACTTTATGTGCGATCTCGTCTTCTGTCTACTACATCCTTTCAAACTGTTGGTCAAGGGATGTTTTCAAAGGCAGTTGCTTTTAAGTTAAAAGAAAGTACGTATATGCCTGCAGCAAAATTTTGATCTCATCCCCAATGATCCATTCAAAAAAACCTAAATCGCTTTCCTATATTAGACCCCGAAAGCAGACAATTAATATCTCTCGGAAACGCAGGTTACTGATGTTATTTCAGGAGGCCATAAATGATCAAATTTAGTCAACAAATCTAACCTTAACGAAGTCATAGTCTATTTATTTCCATGACAACAAGTTAAGGCATTATTTTCACTGATTTAAACGACTAATCAGTTAACTTCATCACCCGCTTGAGAACAGTCAATCAAAGAGTTTATTCAAAAGGCATGGATGTGCCTTTCTTATGTACAATAATGTAAAAACAAACCACTGGTATGCCTTTAACCAACCGGTGAATACACACGAACTATATAGGCTTCATTTTTGTAGGATCTGGGTTCTTCGCAGCAACAGCTGCTGCACATGTAGGCTGCTAAATGACTGAGTCCGTGTTTCTGCCTACAGCGGTTGAATATACGAGTAAAGGTGCGTCGCGTGGTCCGCCGGAATGTTCGTGAAACCATGAAGTAGAGGAAAAAGTTGACGGCACACCCAAAAACCTGTAGGAAATTGGTCCATTCTAAAAGGGTGTTTAAAATAACATACTGCCGCCGCAGGTCGATGTCCTTTCTAATGCGAATGCCTATATTGTTAATGAGTTTCAAACACACAAACTGGACTATACCGAATGGAGTGGAGAGCAGAAGGAAGGCAAAGATGACTGCCAGCAGAAGTGGTGTCACCCGATGCAGTGCTCGCGGGCGAAGATGTTTGTGCTTGACTATCACAATTTTTGGTTGTCTTTTATTTGACGGCGTCTGTGAGGAGGCATGGGATGTAATTTTAGAGCTGGTAGAACCCTGCTTAGGTCTGCCAGGTGCACCGCTGTTCGAAGATTCCTCTGCTGGCCTTGGCACTGCTGGTTGCTGGTGGGCTCCAAAACGCAGACGAATATCTTCACTTCGTCTGCAGGCAATAATAACAGAGATATTGGTTACCAGGACAGCCACGAAGGGTCCCACGTTCGTGCAGATTATATGAGCTATACTGTAGATGTCCTTGAGAAGGTCGGCCAATGGGAAAGTTCTATCGACTATGTGGAGCATCCGCTTGGAATTTGAACAGACTGAACTGTTGCCGATTGAGAGATCACTGCTACAATCCTCTTCATTTTCCTCATAAGTGTAGCGCAGAAAGAGGGGTAAATTGAAAACAAATGCCGCAAAGTAGAGCCCAATGATAGCGTTGACAACGCTTCTGCAACGAAGGTAAAACCGCGAGCGGATGGGCCAACACACGGCGAGGTAACGCAACAGACTCACGAGCACCACCATCCAAGCACTGACGGTGAGAAATGTGGAGACAAGACCAGGTCCGAAGAGAGTGTAATAGAGCAGAAAATCGAAACTCTCAAAAGACCGCTTGGAGTAAATAAGTGGCAGGGTAGACAGACATATGCAAAAATCCGCAATTGCCAGCCCCAGTAGGTTTACCCTCGCTGACCTCTCACCACCGCCGACTGTTCGGGAACCACGAAAGTGACACAAAACAAGGACAATTAGGGTGTTGGTGAATAGTCCTAGACAGGCAACACAAAGCATCAGGAGTTTCGAGGCGGACTCGGAGGAATCAACTGAGCCTTCCACTTGGGGTGTGTTTTTTTGTTCGAAGGGCTCCACGACATTTGCTGAGGCATTCATTGTCCCATAGACGAGTTTTAGGAACTTATCATCTGTAGCACTTTAAATGGTGTAGTAAGAAGATGAAATAATAAAGTTATAAAACGTGCAGCGGTATTACTTCGCAATTAATTTCTATAATCATTCAGTTCAATAATCACACTTCAGGCAATTCAGTAATTTACTAGCTATTCTTCTGAACTATGGTTCATGCTCATTGAAGCAAAATTATTCGTACACTCATAGATGAGGTTACTTGATATTAATTATTCTACGTAAGCTGTTTTTGCCTGGATTTATTCTGATTCCACTTAACCAATTAAACATGCAAACGGAAACAGCAAGATTCAACGGTTTCAAAAGCTTTCATGATGGAGTATGAACTGCAAACGGTTATTGCGTAACATAAATAATGAATGAGAGCACACACTAGTTTTACTTCACAGAAGGCGTCAATGGATAACAGCAAGGGTCATAATTCACTGCATAGATCAATAAGATGAATGAGGTTGCCGTAAATCATTATGCAGAAAAGAAGAAAAATGGGGGAAGTTAACACAAATAAAAGTCATTATTCAATCTACGCAGCAGGATACTAAGGCAATTGGTACTTGACCACATGATCTAGCTGGATGTATAAGTTGTGTTTCTCCCGCCGCATATAGGGTGCTGTGAAGAAACATCGGGTCCGTGTATTTGGCGCCTAACCAGGTACACCGAAAGCTGTTTTGTTACCAATATCCTGCAAAGACGTGTTAAAACCAATAAATGCAATTGCTTATACCTGCCTCTAACTGATTTACGGAAAATTGCATCAGAGGAAACATGTTACATTCTGCGAGTTTATACTGTAATATGTTAAATGTGTTTGTAGGTATTTCCTTTCTTCTTTTTCTAGAGGTATGCAGTAGAAGCATTTGAGTTTCCCTTTTGAATCATGAGTGAAAAATCGTAGATGGACAACTGAAAGAAGAACACCGGAGTGGTATTAAATTACCGGTGAACAAATATTATTTCCAATTGTAAACACCCAAAAGTATAATAAATCCAATTGAAGCATTTTATAACTAAAAAAAAACGTTTTTTTGGTGGCATAGCAAATTGGGCTTTTAAACTGCATGGACCTTCATAAGATGGCCGTCGTCAATTTTTTCCGTGGAAGATGAGAATACAAAGCATCCTAGGTTAGTTTTAATGGCAGCAATCACCTGTTTTGAGGCTGAAGTATTCTGTAAGAAGAAACTATTCAATGCTGAGAAGAAACAGCAAAATCAACGGAGGTTTTATGTAATAACTGATTACTTAAATTCCCGCGTTATACATCTCGTAAAGAACAGGCAGAGGAAGATTGAGCGGGTTCGTGAACCAAATTATATTTTAGCTGACTTTTCAAAGGCACATTCGCTTTTATCGTCAGAGTAACGTGCTTACTCCTCCGTGGGCCTTGAGCGAAATCGCATTATTCCCAGCATCCCGTTATATCCTTGCCCTCTGGACGTGTTTTCGCCTACCTGGTGGTTGCAGGTTGGCTCCAACGGAAATGTTAGCACGGTACCCGGACGATGGAAGCGAGTGTGTTTTTGGAGTGTCAGTTCAAAAATAATTTGGTCCGTGGAACTTCCCCTCTTCGTCTTTTTTGGGAGGCAGTGAACGCGATGGCATATCTTAACCTCAAATAATTACAAAATATACCTATGTTCATGTGGAGAAAGCGGAGTAACAGATTTTTACTAATTATACAACATAAAGTGGTAGTGATTCTAGAAAGCGTAAAAGAGAACGCTTTGAATACTTTGAACGGTTTAATCAATTGATTCAATGTACTAAGCTTTGCATACGAATCTGATCATTTGCTACGAATCTCCTATAATAAAATCAAGGATACCAGCCTGCTTACAGCTTAAGTCATATGTAATTACTTCATAGAATTCATGTGAAAATGATTTCAAAAATGTTTATCCTAATCTACATAATATTGGTCAACCTTAGTTAATGGGGAAAAACGTAAAATTGTGTTACGTTTCGGGTGCGCAATATAAAATGTAAGGTATCTAAGATGGTACCGTAAGAGAATATGCAGAACAAACACGGACTTCCCGGCATTACATCAGAAATAGCAACAAACAAAAAATAGATCTTGCAGCACTTTTTGCCACAAATGATCTTCCACGTGTAGAACATAATATAGTTTCTTGAGCAAAACCTAATACGTTTGCAAATGCAAGTTACAATGTGAGTTACCTGAGGTCATTGAGATGGATAAGATGATGCAAACGTTAGAATAAGAAATCGTTTTGTTTGGCGTTCCAGCTTTTTGCTTGAAACTTAATTCGGAGGTGGAATCAGATACGGATCCTTCATAACCAGGAAGTCGCAGTATTTATTGGATGCAGAGGCTATGTTAGTGTGACCAATTACATACCACCCCCTTTATCGAGAATGATGGGGATGGGACGCGATAATGGGTTGACCATGGACACGCGGATCGTTATTTGCTCATATTTCATCACCCATGGGCCTAAACAATTTGGCCAAAGTAATTCTTAGCACCGAATATGAGTTTGGGAGTGGATTGCACTCGTTGATTGACTAGCGTCCGTGAAGCATGAATAAAATACATCAGGGCTCATGAGATCGCTAAATCTCGAGAGACTTTCTGCTCCATCGAACTTGAATGTGTGGCCTGGTTTCATGGAACGGGCCAAGACATAAAAATTAGCATCATTATTATCGCAATGTTGTCGCCTGTTCCGACAATTATAAACGTTGTTACGTCTTTCACTACCTATCTTCCACAAAAAAGCAAATAACTTCAGCAAAAAAACATGTTCTAAATAGGTGTTTTGTCATCGTGAAGCACGCCTCAAACTGTGCACGTATTATGAGAAAGTAGTGAACAAGTAGTCACACATAACTGGTAAAAATGGTAGATAAATTTAAGCATGCCAATTTCACAAATTCCAAAGGGGAATTTTGATGATTTTATTCATCTCGAAAAACACGCATGTCATTCAGAATCAATCTAGATGAAACGCTACATAATATTGACGACGACAGCCCGAATAAAAACGAATTGTTGCCATATTCAATAAATAGAATAAATTATTTACCTGGGAATGTTGGGCCACAGTAAACCCCTGAGTATGTAAAGCTACTGCTCGGGGAAGTGCTGCCTTCTGAATATGTCATTTGGCTAGCCATGACGAATAAATTGTATTATTTGGCCAGTTAAATAGACTTTTATGAATTTTATCCTTCCTGCACTATATAGATGTTTGCCATTTCACGACCTTGCGTGGAAAACTATTGAACACTGTTGGTGTTAATTTTCTGTACACAGGGTGTGGGAGACGGGACTTGAAAATGCTTTCGTTGGATTTGGTTGGGCGCATCGTCCGCATGATTAATATCTAATAAGTTTTGGCTTTAATTGTCCAGTAGGCGTTTTAAGTAGCTATCCCCAAGTTCGTTCAAACTGCATATATATTGCAGCATTACAAAATATTTTAAGTGACGAATATGCATTTCTAGTAAATTTGCGAGTCAAAATTAATAAAAACCAAAATCCGTCAACCATTAATATGGAATTCAAAGTTTTTGATCATTAAAATCGTAAGTATATATTCAGGACTATTCTCCTTCCATGTTGAGCACTACCGAAACGACTCCATTTAACGGCCGTAATTCAAAATTAATAAAAATTTCAAGTTAATTGCCTTTAGCTATTAATCTTAAAATTTGTGCATCAAACCTATCGTCCCAAAATAAAATATTGCAAAAGTACACAGTGCATGATAATGCAATACTACTCCTATATAAATCAAACCTATCACAGGAAGTTAAAGATATTTCTAACGCTTAAACTGATTACTTTATTATATGCTATCCCATGCGTCCAAAGAAATGCAATGTTCGTTCACAAAATGCTTATGATAAGAAACTACAGACATACAGTTCTGTACATCATGCAACCAAAATTCAGGTCGAAATTTAACCGGGTAATTAAGCCTATATCTGGACAGGTTATTTTGATAAACTGAGTGGATTTAATAATAAGAAGGTCTTTGGTTTGGAAAACTGCCCTCTTATGTAAAGTTATTGGGGAAAAAAGGCTATCATTTTTGCTAAATAATGAGTATGTTTATATAAAAAAGGAATTCCGTATGCTATAAGGAAAGAATGGACGAAATTTTCTTCTAATATACATTGTGCTGTGGAAAAATTCCATAATTAGTAAAAAAA